CCAGATAAACTTTTAAAAATAATGTATTCTTTTTCAAACGTTTTATTTTAACTTGTTATTTAACATGTTTTAAATGCAATGTTAAAATGATGGTAATGTGAATGATAAAATCCTGTTTTTGTCGTGTAATCGACTATTGTTTTCAGTGTCGACTAGCAGGAGCTGTACCGTTTAGTCAACTAGTCGACTAGACCCGCACATCCCTAGTACATACGGGTATATAAGATGGCGGCGTGCATCCACTCATTCAGATTTTTGCTTCAGAGCAGATCGCTTCATGAGCGTTTTCTCTCGTCTAAGAGAAATCTTCAAGAAACTAAGAAGCTTTCATTGCAGGAGATTCTCGGCTGTGTCAGAAAACAGTGCATTCAGTGGTGTGTTCGCCTCTCCTTTGCACAGATAAATGTTGTGATCCACCCCTGGGCACTCCAGCCTAAAAGAGCAATTTCCTACAGCTTGCATGGCTGAGAGTGTCTTTCTAGATGTCTTTCCGACCATGTGCTTCTGAGTGCGGTATTTTCCTTACCTCTAATGACGGACATGATCGCTGTCTCACGTGTCTTGGCTGCAAGCATGCTGAGACCGCTTTCCCTGCACACCATGGCCATCCTGCAAGTACACCAGGCCAAGGCGCTTAAAAAACTGCACGAGGGTATTTCTGGCCCAGGGATGATGCGTATCTGAGGAGGAGACTCCTCAACAGGGGCGTTGAGCTTACCCCAGGAAGAGAGTGCAGTCCACTTCTTAGGGCGCCGTTAAGTCTTCCCAGAGCACCTCGAAGCATCCCAGAGATGGGTGACCCGGAGATGGAAGGGTTGCCTTCGTGCTGTTTCTGTCTCCCCGCGTCTTTATAAAAGTCACAGAGGGTGTCCTGTCCCCACTTTGGGAGAAGGGCATCCGAGTCCTCAACTCAATCTCGACGACTGGCTTATATTAGCTCACTCGTGAGATCTGTTGTGCGAGCACAGGGATATGGTGCTTCTGTATCTCAGCCACCTGGGTCTTCAGGTCAACTGGGAAAAGTGCAAGCTCTCCCCTGTGCAGAGCATCTCTTTTCTCGTTATGGAGCTGGACTCAGTCAACATGACAGCACGTCTCATGAAAAAACATGCTCAGTTGGTGCTGAACTGCCTGAATTCATTCAGGGGTAAAACGGCGGTTCCTCTAAAACAATTTCAGAGGCTCCTTGGGCATATGGCATCCGGAGCCGCAGTTGCGCTGCTCGGGTTGTTACATATGAGAACGCTTCAGCACTGGCTGCACAGACAAGTCATGAGATGGGCATGGTGCCGTGGCACTCACCGGGTCGGTGTTACCCCGGTTTGTCACCGACTTTTCAGCTCATGGTCGGACCTTGGTTTTCTACGGGCAGGCGTGCACCTGGAGCAAGTGTTGAGGCATGTTGGTGTCACAAATGATGCCTCCATGAGGAGCTGGGGCACTGTGTGCAATGTGCACGCAGCTTCAGTCTCCTGGACAGGACCTCGACTGCAGTGGCACATCAATTACCTCGTGTTGCTGGCAGTACTGCTTGCTCTTCGCTGGTTTTGTCCTTTGCTGCAAGACAAGCATGTGCTCGTCCACATGGACAACACTGCGACGGTTGCGTACATCAACCATCAGGGTGGGATACACTCCTGTCGCATGTCACAACTCGCCCGTTATCTCCTCCTCTGGAGTCAGACGTGGCTCAAATCGCTGTGTGCCGTTCACGTTCCGGGGAGCTCAATCATGCAGCCAATGCACTCTCACGACAGCTTACCCTTCCAGGAGAATGGAGACTCCATCTCCTGCCGGCCCAGCTGATTTGGAGTCGATTCAGGGAAGCCCAGGTGGACCTGTTCACTTCTCAGGAATCCTCCCACTGCCAACTGTTCTACTCCCTCATGAGGCACCCCTCGGCATGGATGCTCTGGCACACAGATGGCCCCGGGGTTTACACAAGTACGGCTTTCCCCCAGTGAGCCTCCTTGCATAGACCTTGTACAAGATCAGGGAGGACGTGGAGCAGATCCTGTTGGTTGCGCCATATTGGCCCACCCGGACCTGGTTTTCCGATCTCACGGAAGTCTGGCTCGGAGTCTTGCTTGCAGCACTATTCCGCTGGTTAAGATATGTGCCCTTATCTTCTTACAGTAAGTTCCCCATCTGGTGAATCCTGGTTGATTCCTCCAACACCCTGTGGCATTCAGACTTAGCAGAGAAGTCTGTTGCCACGTCCAGTATTTGGGTTGCATGAAATTAGTCACCCCCTTTTACTGGACTTAGTGCCATTCATGAGATTCCTTTGGTAATCCTGTATGTTTTTTTCAATGGTACAGTTTCCCTTGGTAAACCCGTGTCTTCCCTAGTTAGTTTGTTTACTGTCAGTTCCTGTTGTGTTCTTCTGAACTCGTGTCACGACAGTTGTCAGATGGGGCTGTAACCAGTCTTACTGTTCACATTCCTATTCAGATGTGTTTCTGCACCCCAACGGTTGCTGAAATCTAGTATAGTGAATGTCGGAACAACCCTATTTTGGCTTTTCTGGTAAGTCCGTATATTTAATAAATGATCTGGCTTATTGGGCGTTGGGTAGGCTACGGATCGAGGTGCATCTGTCCTGACATGCTTGCTTATCAGCACCTGCACCTTCAATTTTCGTAACACAGTTCTGGTTGTGGCGCTTTCCATAGGGACCCCTAATGTCAAAGTAACATCGAACGTGACTGACTGATAGGGAACGTCTCGTTACATATGTAACCTCATTCCCTGTTATGTCCCTCCAGCCACAATCGTGAACTGCGCTGAATGCGGGGATGCCTCTTGGCTTTGCTTACCAGTCTGTGGAAATAAATTGCGATGCTTCATCATGAGATTAGTAGTTCATTCATTGATAAGGACACAGTCTCCTACTTTTGTTAGTTTTATTTTTGCTGTAAATCTTAGAGTCAGTTTGTTTGGTTTCAGGCTCAGAGTTTTTGTACCTGGAGCGTTGATTTCAGGTTTTGCACAAATGTCACGTTTTTGAGATCTGGTTGAAAATATTGCCCTTTAATTATATGGTTTAGAATTCATATATACTATATGTATATATTTACACTTATTATTCATTTAAATGAATCAACCTTATGTGTGATTTTGAGCAGATCCCACACAAATCACCCAGGGTCCAGTGGACATGGAGATCATTGTTGGGGAGAGCATCGTACTGCCCTGCCAGATCTCTTGTGACCCCGCTCTGGATGTTTCATTCTCCTGGGCCTTCAATGGGCAGCTCCTCAATAAACTGGACCAGCATTATGAGCATGTGGGTGGGGTAAGTCATATTTTTTAGATATGCTTTCTGTCTGTATTCTGCTTTATACTGTTTAACGTGTCATAGAAGTGTGTAAAGCTGTTCAACAAAAATCAGTCTTTTTGCCATTTTGTTTTCTTTCAGTTAGCACTTTTTGTATTCCTTTTTGGAACTTATTAATCGTAGGTCTCATTGATCTGTGCTTATGCAAAAATAATTTTGACAATGTTCAGTCAAAAACTGAGGTTCATAAGTTCAAATCAATGAGGTCTGCAATCAGGCAGTTTCAAAATGCAAATTGAAACTGCACATTGCAAATATGACAGTTGTCGTGGACCAATTTAATTTAATTAAAATAAAAACTTTTATTTTGCCGGTCATATGACTGGAGTCTGCATCATATTGTATGTGAATGCATATGATTTTAAACAAATTTATTAAAAAAGTACTATTAATTTCTTTGTGTAAAGCCTTTCTAATGAAGAAAAATACTGAGTGTTCCTTTAATGTCTCTGTACTGTACATCTCTAACAATGAAATGAATTTATTATACTCATTATACTCAACAAATGACAGATTCTGAGGGAGTTGATCCAGTAGTTTACTGTATAATGCTATTATACTCTGAGCCAGACCTACTGTTAAAATGTGGGAGACTTGGCAGAGATCAATTCATCACTCTCTTTTTGAGGTTTTTAGCTGTTCCTTCCACTGCTTAGCAGCCCACTACGTTCACTTTGAGCTCTTTTCCCTCCTCTTCACAGAATAAACATCAATCCATTAAAGTTTTGCCTTCAAAGATCCCAAGTGTAATATCCTCATATGGCTTTTGAATGGTCAGATCTCACATCTCAGACTGCTTTTCTCTGGGATGTGATGACGCCTTTCTAGAAATAGTAATGATTTTAAAGACTGAGAGAATGCCCTAATGAGGACTGACTGGTCAATATTGGATGTGCATGTCTCAACTGAGAAATCCTTAAACAGCTTCATTAATCACCACCCCCAAAGCCATCAAAAAGATGATTTCTTTTTCAAATAAGGTTGCATATTTCAGAGAATTTAATTAGTTATTTTTCTGTGGAAAGCAACAGTAAAATAAAATTATTTTTGACTTTTATATAATTACGGTAATTTCGTGATAAATCTGAACATTTGGGACACACACATAGGAAACGCTCTCATCTTGATTTAAGCCAGTGATTCTTATCAGTAATTATATTCCAGTTCTTCTTATAAATTTCTCAGATGCCACCCGTCTTGTAGGATTATCAACATGAAGTTCACAGCTTGGATGAATTCATTTCCATAATGAAACTAAATTTGTAGCCTAATGCCCTTACTGCTGAAATTGCAGATTTGCCTCTTGTTTGCCAACCACAATCTCCCCCTCAGATAAGAGCATACATCTTATCTCATTTAATTGATTTGAAATCTAAGCGCTTTTATTTCATTAGTGAAGTTGTCTGTGCCAAAGACTTCAGTGCTGCACAGACAATATCAACATCCAAGTGAATCAGTGTCTATAAACAATAGCAATAAAGAATCCATTTTAGTAAACTGAAGATTTTTTACAGATAGGTGTAGATAGAGTAAGAATTAAATGCACCCACTGATAGCACTATTTATTTGCATATGCTGTCTGCATGGTTTTAGCAACTTTTTCACTAAGAGAATTATGCAAATCAGGTAGCAATATAAAATCACCCACAAAAGTGATGCTGTTTGTGAACAATTTTTATGGAAATCGTGATGCATTTTTTCTTTTCAGGATTCTTTAAGGAATAGGAAGTTTCATAGAACACCATTTATTTCAAATAGAAATGTAAATGTCTTTATTGTCACTGTTGATCAATTGAGTGTATCCTTGCGAAGTAAAAAGTATTCCTTTTTTATTGATTTAAAATCTTACTGACCTCAAACTTTAGAACAGTAGTGCAAGTCATGCAAATATATTTTTTATTAGGGCTTTCAGTATAGAATGTTAATTTAATGCATACATAAATGCTTATGTTAAAAATCATCTAAATGGAGAGCAATGGAGTGAAACAAAATGCTTGAGTTTTTCAAAGTTGTCTGTTCTTTTAAAATGGTCTATTCAGTGCTTTCAGTCTTTGAATTAAATTGGATTCTATTCTCTGCATAAATTGATGCATGCAATTAATCAGCATATCAATTAAAAGGATTCAAAGTTTTAATCAGTTGAATCAGTTGCTTTACAATAAATAAGGTCCTCATTATAATTATAACTTTATAATATATGATGATTCTGATGCTCTTTTTACTTGTTAATTACATGTATCATCATGAATATAATAGTATATATATATCTTTATTACTTTACCTGTTTTCACAGTACTTAATCTATTCCCTTGACAGAGCGCTTTTAAAGTTCACCTCCACTCTTATGAACAACTTTCTTCATCTTTATTAGATTAACAAAGGCATTTAATTGTCGTGTGTGGATTTAGTATTCATCACTTGTATGGTTTCGTATCACAGGGTTTTAGCACACTGAATCCAATCACACTACCTCTTAAATGTGATTAAGCTCTAATTAGCCAATTAGCGAGTGAGTTTGGTAGCTGGATCCTGTGCAGTGCCGAAGGAGCCTAAGGCTTGGCCAGAGGAAATATTTATCCATGACGGACATTTCAAATGTAGCAGCGAACAGCCTTTGCCAAAAGTCATCCATTAGCTGTGGAGTTGGGCCACATTTTCATTCCCAAAACCAGCAGGGTGTCTATACTCACTGAATCACTTGCCGGCAAACATAGCAAACAACTCACACATCTTCCTGTCGCTTTAAAGCCCCAGTTGATAGAGTGGATAGTAATGAGTATGTGTGTGTTTATATCTCCAGAGTACATCTGGGGATTTGATGATACGGAATATACAGCTGAAGCACGCCGGAAAGTATGTCTGTGTGGTCGACACAGATGTCGAGAGTTTATCAGCTGTGGCTATTTTAATCGTGAAAGGTAAGAGAGCGATGGCCAGGCAACTGGGGGAGCTTCAAATGCAGGGTTTGGATTTGGAAGGAAAACCTGATTGAAAGATACAAATGCTTTCTTTGCTTTGCCAAGGAAATGTATATGTCTGTTGAATTTATCTGTTATTACATGTTCCATTAGAGGTCATTAGAGGAACATATCAAAGCTGTTTATCAAAGGTTACAAATTAGTTTTAGCGGGATCGATATCTTTCAATTGAAATTAGATGACATGCAAACTTTTACTGCCAGAGCCTATAATAATGCTTTATAACAGTGTAGAATCAGGATATGGAATTCACACTCAGCAAGAACAAAATGCAAGTAAAAACTGGCTGTAGCAAGCAAATAAAACCAGTTGGCCTTACATAAGGATCTTTAAATGTGGGGCCATGTCTCAAACAGGGGGCCGGGGTCTACTAGAGGGCCTCAGCAAACTTCCAAGGGGGCCTCAAGATGACTTAAAATGAATTAGTTGGCTCCAACAATATTTTTCTATGGGTTTTTAAAATAGGGTTTTTCAATTTATGAGTAAAACAATGCGCGTGTTAAACATAAATTGACGATACTTGGACGTTTCAATCTACAATGTGAATTACACACACCCATACTGAAAATGCAAATTTTGAAGCAAATTTTTTTTTTTGTTGTTATTTTTAAAAATGTATGTTTGTAACTACATAAGAAATCTGGAGTGTACATGTTTGCAGTTTACATTGTACAACAAGTATTGTCAAGTTATATTTACCACTGACCTTACTTTACTTATGAATTGAAAAACACCATTATAAAAACCCATAGGAAAATCTCGAGGGAACCTATGGTGAATTTGTCTTTCTGGTTTTGACGTCACAGCTATACTGCGCTCTATAGATGGGGAGTCAAATTATAAATGTCTGATTTCTATAACCTAGAAATGTAGAGTGGGTATAGAAAAGAATCACCCCACTTTAAAATAATCACATTTTGTTGCTTTGCTGCCTGAAATGAAGACAGACACAGTTTTTGTTTTAGTCAGCTGTATTTACTCAGTGCAACTTATAACATCCTAGTGAAAGAAATAACACCATGTCAGAAAAAAAATAAAGCCAGAATCACTGAGTTAGAAAAAGGATCACCCCCTTGTGTCAGTATTTTGTTAAACCACCTTTTGCTTTAATTACAGCCTTGAGTCTGTTGGGTTATGTCTCTACTAACTTTCCACATCTAGACTTTGCAATATTTGTCCACTCTTCTTTGCAGAACTGCTCAAGTTCAGTTAAATGTGATGGTGAGCGTTTGTGGACTGCAGTCTTCAAGTCATTCCACAGATTTTCAGTGGGGTTTAAGTCTGGGCTCTGACTCGGCCCTGCAAGGACATTCACCATTTTCTCCTTCATCCACTGTGCTTTGGGTCATAGTCATGTTGGAAGGTAAACCTTCTTCCCGTTGACAACTTTCTGGCAGAGGGCTGCAGAATTTCCTCAAGAATGTGACAGTATTTTGCCCCATCCAATTTTCCTTCTATCCTGACAAATTGCTCCAGTTCCTGCTGCAGAGAAAAAACCCCATAACAGGATATTACCACCTCCATGCTTTACTGTTGGCAGGGATGGGCAGTATTTCAGATACATGTATTTAAAATACGTATTTGAAATACGAAACACTATTTTGTCAAATTATTAAATTTCAGTCTCATCTACCTCAGAAACGTCAAGGTGCGTTTTGGCAAAGCTCAGTCGTGACTGCATGTGGCCTTTCTTGAGGAGTGGATTTTTTCTTGCAACCCTCCCATACAAGCCACATTTGTGGAGAATTTATGATATTGTTGTCACATGCACACAATGACCACACTTTGTCATAAATTCCTGCAGCTGCCGCAGAGTTGCTGTAGGCCTCTTGGTAGCCTCTCTGAGCAGTTTCCTCCTGGCTCTTTCATCCAATTTGGAGCGACAACCTGATCCAGGGAGGGTCTGTGTTGTACCAAATACCTTTTTCTAAATACATTTTATTTTTTTTGGTGCCTGTCCACAACTTTATCCCGGAGATCTTTTGATGGGTGCCCATAGTTGATTGTTTGCTTCAGTTACACTACCAAGGACTGAAAGTCTCCAGGAAAGCGCTTTTCATGCTGAGCTAATCAAAATGATCACAGTTGAAAGTCAAATGGCTTTGTGTGCCATTGAGAAGGTGATTAGCTACACCTGATTGAGAGGCCATGCAAGGACATTCACCTTTTTCTCCTTCAACCACTGTGTGCTCAGTTTTGCTGTGTGCTTTGGGTCATTGACATGTTAGAAGGGAAACCTTCTTCCCATTGACAAATTTCTGGCAGAGGGCATATATTCCTGATTCATATATTCGTGATTGTTTTTTGTTTTTTTTCTGACATGTTGGTGCTATATCTTTCACTTGGATGTTGCAAAACTCAATAGGCATTTTTTAATGAATATACATTTTTCTAGTTCTTCCAAGCTCTAAAATGTTGTATCAGGTCGAAATTGTAAGTAAAAAGTATTCATATAATCAATTATTAAGATTATTGAGATTAAGTAACTGGAACAGGCATGAAAAAAAACAGAAGGACCCCTGAAGGACATTCTGCTCCTAAAACTTCCAGCAGTTTAATTTACAGAAACTAGGAGTGTCTGGCCTTTGAATTTTATGCACAATGGGGGGCCTTGGTTTAAAATGAATTATGTAAATGTTAGTCAGACCAAAGATGCATGCAAACTCCTCACACCAAAATCAAATATGAAGAAAAAAAATTACAATTTGTCTTGATGATTTGTCTTTGAGTGCCTTTTAGGTGAGAAGCAAACACTGTCTGGTCTTATTATTGATGCTACAAGTGACCTGCGCTGACAAAACCACCAAACATTATGCTCCATTTCGTTATATTTTCCCCCAAAGGAGTGTGAATTTGACAAAGGAAGACAACTCTCTGCACATTTTTAATTGGAAATTTGCAGCTACTTGCAGCTTTTCAAAGGAGACGTGCTGTAGCTGTTAAGAAAACAGCTCAAGCCTCTGAAAAGCTTTCCTGTGATTCTCAAAGAGATCTAGTGTTCCCACAAAAGCAACCGCTTAAAATGTAATAACGCCTTTTAGAGACTGGCCTTATATCACAGTTTAGTGGGGCGATAAGCGGAGCGCTTCCTGGCAGGGGGTGAGCAAGGTTAGATGTCAGTGAAGGTAACTTCATTTCTAATTGCTAATTCACTGCTAATTGTCTGATTGAATCAGGTCCCCCAGGAGCTCCAGATGGCGTAACAGTGGAGGAGATCACAGACAGCACGGCTCAGCTTTCTTGGAGACCCGGCCAGGATAATGGCAGCCCCATCACAAGCTATATCATCCAGGCCAAGACAGCTTTCACAGTGGGCTGGCAAGCAGTGAACACGGGTAACAATACAGGATTAGCTAAAGCTAGTCAAGCAGCGCATCAATTCAGCAAGAGACTGAAATTACCATAGCACGTCTCATGTGCTTTTAAGAAAGAAGCTTATGCTCGCTTTGAGTACATATAAGGGCCTCTAAGTACTAACGCAAAACGACTTAATCTGGTCTCTTGCCTTGCCGCTTGAATCTGAATTCATTCAAACAACATCCCACCCAGACAGGGGCATGGTATAGAACAATTTTTTTATGTTTTGTGACATTTCTGGCTTACTGTAAACATAGGCTCAAAATTGGGCTCCTGTTGTTGACTTTCATGGCGCGGCCGTGTAATCCAGGTATTTTCAGTTAAACCGTGGCTTTTCTGTTTGCTCTCAGTCCCGGAGGTGATTGATGGGAACACCTTGACGGCAACGGTGGTGGATCTGAACGCATGGGTGGAGTATGAGTTCAGAGTGCTGGCCAGAAACAGTGTCGGCGTGGGGGAACCGAGTCCCACTTCTCTTAAAACTAGAACTGAAGATGCAGGTGAGTCACCAACGGTGTTAATTTATACACACATTTTTTAACTGAAAGTCAAATTGGAAAATATCTCATTTAAATTGTGGTTTTGCCATGTAATATTCATTCCTTTTAGGCAATTTTATTTTGATCTAATTTTAGTCTATGAAAATAACATTTTAGTTAATGAGAGCACAAAATTATAGCAAATATTCAAACATTATATGTATTAATTTAAACATATACCAACATTTAACCAATGCATGTGAAACTCTGCCTGTTACGTAAACCCTACTGAAATAACATAATGAGTACACTATAGTAATACAATCTTGTGAATTTTCTATGGTTTAGCTATTCATTGCCTTTGTTTTAGTGCATTGTTACAGAAAAAACAAATTCACAACATTACACCTTCTGACTAACTATTGACTTAGTTAACTTGTGCATTCGAACCATTATTTCAAATACAGTTCATAACATTTGGGGTCAGTGAGATTTTTTTATATTTTTGAAAGAAGTTTCTTATGCTCACCAAGGTTGCATTTATTTGATCGAAAATACAGTAAAAACAGTAATATTGTAAAATATTATCACTAGATAACTGTTTTCTAATATCATTTAAAATGTAATTTATTCCAGTAATGGCAAAGCTGAATTTTCAGAAATCTTTCTAATATGAATTATAAATGTCTTTACTGTCCTGTTTGATCAATTTAATTGATCCTTCTTGAATATAAGTATTCATTTCTTTTAAAAAATCTTACTGACCCTAAACTATTGAATAGTAGTGTATGAATGGTAGTGTAGTGTAAATACACCGATCAGGCATAACATTATGACCACTGACAGGTGAAGTGAATAACACTGATTATCTCTTCATCACGGCACCTGTTAGTGGGTGGGATATATTAGGCAGCAAGTGAACATTTTGTCCTCAAAGTTGATGTGTTAGAAGCAGGAAAAATGGGCAAGCATAAGGATTTGAGCAAGTTGGACAAGGGCCAAATAGTGATGGCTAGACAAATGGGACAGAGCATCTCCAAAACTGCAGCTCTTGTGGGGTGTTCCCGGTCTGCAGTGGTCAGTATCTATCAAAAGTGCTCCAAGGAAGGAACAGCGGTGAACCGGCGACAGGGTCAAGGGCTGTCAAGGCTCATTGATGCACGTGGGGAGTGAAGACTGGCCCGTGTGGTCTGATTCAACAGACGAGCTACTGTAGCTCAAATTGCTCAAGAAGTTAATGCTGGTTCTGATGGAAAGGTGTCAGAATACACAGTGCATCACAGTTTGTTGCGTATGGGGCTGCATAGCAGCAGACCAGTCAGGGTGCCCATGCTAACCTCTGTCCACCGTCGGAAGCACCAACACCGGGCTCGTGAGCATCAGAACTGGACCACGGAGCAATGGAAGAAGGTGGCCTGGTCTGATGAATCACGTTTTCTTTTACATCAGGTGCATCGTTTACCTGAGGAACACATGGCACCAGGATGCACTATGGGAAGAAGGCAAGCCGGTGGAGGCAGTGCGACTCTTTGGGCAATGTTCTGCTGGGAAACCTTGGGTCCTGCCGTCCATGTGGATGTTACTTTGACACGTACCACCTAACTAAGCATTGTTGCAGACCATGTACACCCTTTGATGGGAACGGTATTCCCTGGTGGCTGTGGTCTCTTTCAGCAGGATAATGCGCCCTGCCACAAAGCAAAAATGGTTCAGGAATGGTCCAAATTCCCCAGATCTCAATCCAATCGAGCATCTGTGGGATGTGTTGAACAAACAAGTTCGATCCATGGAGGCCCCACCTCGCAACTTACAGAACTTAAAGGATCTGCTGCTAACATCCAGATACCACAGCACACCTTCAGGGGTCTAGTGGAGTCCATGCCGCTGCACCTCAAAGTTCCCTCTGTACCCATGGAAACGCTCCATTTGAAAATAAGAATAGGGTACCCTGTTCTTACCGTATGCATAGGAGGCCCTCTCTGCAGCACGGGCAAAATGGCTTTTCTTCATCTTTTTTGAGGACACAGAAAACATTAGATATTCCTCTGTGAAACCCTCCATCCATGTCACCCCCAAACCCACTGTGTGGAGAAAAGTGGAAAAACTCCTGTATAATAATTCTTCTGCACTGAACATAATGGCACCGTAGCATTATATCCGTGAGGCTTTAGATCCCACAGTCTGTGCTTTCTCTCCATTGCTCTTGAAATCAGGTGGTGTACTGGGAGGATGATACAAAACCAGAGACCATGGGCAAAGTCAGAGTGTCTGCCAATCAGAACAAGGTTAACATCAGTGGACTGAGAGAATACACTCAGTATTTCCTGACAGTGAGCGTTTTCAACACAGCGGGAACTGGCCCTCTGTCTCCCACCATCAATGTGACCACCAAGAAGTCCCGTAAGTATATGCTTCTTAAAATTATCAGTTTATTTAAGCATTGCCTATGCAGGTATATATTATATCATATCACTGGGGTGGGCAAACTTGGCCCTTCCAGGTCACTTTCCTTCAGAGTTTAGCGCCAACTCTAATCAAACACACCTGAACCAGCTAATCATTGTCTTCAAGACTACTAGAAAGCTACAGGCAGGTGAGTTTTATCAGGGTTGGATCAAATCTCTGCAGGAAAGTGGCCTGGAAGGGCCAAGTTTGCCCATCACTGTCATAGCATATATCATATCATGTCATATATCATATCATATTATATTATATTATATTATATTACATATTTTTGTCTAATTGTAATATTTGCACTTTGTAAAAAAAAATGTCCTTTTTATTGTTGAAAAAGGATAAAGGCACCTGTCATTTGATATACTGTACTGTTATTATTGTTAAAGTTTTTTTTTTTTTTTGCAAGTGTTTTGCAAGCATTTATTTGATCAAAAATACAGTAAAAATCTGTAGTGTTGTGGAAAAATAAAACTCTACTTTAATATATTTTCAAATGCCATTTATTCTGTTAATGGAAAAGGTGAATTTTCAGCAGCCATTACTCCTGTCTTCAGCGTCACATGAATAGAAAGCATTGATTTGAAATGGCAATTTTTGTAACATTATAAATGTATTTACTGTCACTTTTGTTGTGTGTCCTTGCTGAATAAATGTAAAGAAAAATAAAGATTTAAAGGATTATTGGTTATAAGATTCAGTCAGCATTTAATAACCATCATCGTTCCAAACTTTTATGTCTTTCTTTGTTGTCCGTGGGAAATATAATGAGATATTTAAATGAATGTTCATGCTGCTCTTTCTGATACAGCGAAAGAATACAATGACCAGCAAAAGTACCTAAGTAGTCCTTAGTTTGCATACTAAAAAGACTTGTAATATAACATACAAAACATATGGACTATTTGTATGTGTTTGTTGTCCTTTCTGGAGGGTGATGGTCCTTGGTGACTATGTTTTGTTTTGTTTTGACTTTTTGCCAAAAGTTTCCTTTTGTGTTTTACAGAAGAAAGCAAGTCATACATGTTTGAAATGCCAGAATAGTCATTCATAGTTCTAGAACTCTACGCTTAAGTATAGTATAATACATAATGACATTGACAGGAGAGGTGCCTGGCTGTCTGTTTGTTCATAATGTCATAATGTATTATGTCGTCACATGTACAGTAACTAATGGTGGTGTTTCCTCTCAGCACCCGGGCAGCCACCTTTGAACGTGGAGTGGAATCTGATTGGCTCTAAGCTCACTGTTCATTGGGAGCCTGTCATTTCTCTGGAGATGGAGTCAGATGTTACTGGTTATCAGGTAAGTGCTTCCCAGAAATGTAAACCTCAAAGCCAAACTGTAGGGCATTATTTTCATATAATCATATTAGCTTGTTCTATTCCAGTGAGCATTTAGGAAACAACTGCATTAAAGTTGTTAAACAACTGCAGTGCTGCATTAAAGTGTATATCTTTATTTTGTTGGACGATTACCCACCTTAGTGGTAACGGAAATTAAAAATAAAACTAATTTATACCGCAGATCTTCAAAATATGTGCTGTACAGTATAGCGAAAACACCAGGTGTGCTAATAAACACAGTTCCCTACAGTGTATGATAATTTGATTTTACTTCCTTTATCGACTAAAATAGCTTGTGCTGAATAAATCTAAGTGGTTGTTAGCACCTCTCTCATTTGTTCTCTCCAGGTGTCCTACAGAAGGAACCGGCATAAAGAAATTAACACAATAACAACAAATCTGACCTCAGTGGAGCTCACGCTACCTGCAGATGATGATTACATCATTCAGATACGAGCGCTGAGTGACGGAGGAGAAGGGATGCCAACCGAACCCATCAACATACATAAACTTAGTAAGAACGCACTCATTTTTGAATTTGATGAATTTGAGTGTATTGGTCTTCTGAAATAAGTTTTTTTTTTTGTCCAGTGTACAATATTGTTCAAAAGTTTGGGGTCAATAATAATAATGTATACTTCAATTTAGCAAGGAATACAATTTTTAAAAATCTATTTCAAATAAATACTGTTCGTTTGAACTTTATTCATCAAAAGTTTCCACAAAATAATTAAGCAGCACAACTGTTTTCAACATTGATAATAATCAGAAATGTTTCCTGAGCAGCAAATCAGCATATTAGAATGATTTCTGAAGGATCATGTGACACTGAAGACTGGAGTAATGATGCTGAAAATTCAGCTTTGCATCACAGGAATAAATTACATTTTATAATATATTACAATAGGAAATGGTTATTTTAAATTGTGATAACATTTCACATTATTACTATTTTTACTATATTTTTGACCAAAAAAATGCTGCCTTGTTGAACATAAGAGAATTCTTTTGCTCATAAAAGAAAAAAAAAACCTACTGACCCCAGACTTTTGAAAGGTAGTGGAAATTCATTATTCATTATAATTACGGATGCACCAAAATTAAAATGATTGCTGATATTATAATTCTAAAAATGCTGAAAGTGAATTTAGGCAACACAACATTAAAATGTACAGTATGAGAAATGGCTGTTCATTTTGAGATTGGCTAAAAATTACATTTACCAAGGGAATTTTTTATTATTATATTTTTTTTTAAGATTCATTTTGCTGTCATTTAACGCTCACTTAAATCTAATTGTAACAATAGTGGAAATGTTATAATGTGCTCCACCTCTCAAATAACTTGCCTTTTCTGCTGACGTCACTCAGGCTGCGTGGCTATTGAATAATATTAACCAATAGCAAAATATTTGGAATGTACCATATTCTTTTCACCATCCAATCAATTCCTGTTGAATCAAAATAAGTCCTGCCCTAGATTAATCAAATTAAGTCCTCCCCCACATTTTTCGAATCAAATATCCTCTTTCACTCAGAAAATGTAATGAAACTAAAAACTCACCTCGCCTGACTCACAGATCTTTCCGAATCAGAGTGGTGATATAACTAAATGGCTGAATAGTTTACTCAATGTTTTTTCCATCCATCTCTTCTTGTGGGCCGGTTGTGAACAATGATAAGAGGGAATGACACTGACAGGGTTATGAGCCAATCACACTGCTGTGAAGTCACTGCTCATATTTTCTGATTACCCTTTAGGACCTTTATGAAAATGCAACAAGCTCAAGGAGGCCAAAAAAAAGTGCTACCATCCCGGTGTCCCTGTTGGAAAGTGTTACTTTAGAAAAATTAGCGATTTATGAATTAGATTTTCAGTTGTTTATATTCGGCTCATTTATTTTATGTCTGCATCCTTACACAATATTACATTTCCATACGTGAGTTAAACCTGTAGGCGTGTGCAAAGCACATCCACTGCCCTCCTCTTTCAATGCCCATGATGTAAAAGATAAATATTCAATGCCAAAGGGATATTAAACACACAGGCCCCTATAAAATAAACAATTCACAGTTGACCTCATAATGTTCTACTCCTGTTCCCCTGAGTGAAGAGCGCAGGTGCAGTTTGCAGCGGAGACGCTCTCTTACTGCAGCCCACAGAGTTTAATGCACCTCTCTAAATGAGTTCTCACTGATTTGATGTGTCCTCCTCGTACACCTTTTATTCTCCACTGGGCTAAGCAGTCTGATCTTTATTAACTATAGCCCAAGCTCTCGCCATCTATCTCTGCCCGTTGGTCTCCGCTCCCCCATGCATACAATGTCACAGGATGATGCAACTGCAACGGACAACTGTTCTCTGTGGCTTATTGTTCACATTTTTCATCGAAAGGCCTGCAATGTCTCGTTTTCAAGAAAAAGCCCTGACTCTTTTTTTAGTTAGTCATTTAAACTAGGAAAGTCTGCTCAGTGAGCATCTGCTGGACCTCAGTGAAAATGCAACTGTTTTTTACACTAATTTTGATCAAATAAATGCAGATAATTGTTGAGCATAAGATACTTCTTAAATTAAAGAATTTTACAGACCCCAAGCTTTTGAACAGTGTGCATTCATGTTTCAGTTCCATTCAGTTCCCTTTAGTTTCTGGGTTAAAGGAATAGTTCACCCAAAAATGAACATTTGCTGAAAATGTACTCACCCTCAGGACATCCAAGATGTAAATGAATTTGTTTCTTCATTGCAACAGATTTGGAGAAATGTAGCATTGCATCACTTGCTCACCAATGGATCCTTTGCAGTGATTGGGTGCCATCAGAATGAGAGTCCAAACAGCTGATAAAAACATCACAATACTCCACAAGTAATCCACGACCAACTGTTTTGGACTGTTTTCACTTTGTAAAGAGTGTTTGATATGTGCATATTTCACTCCTGATTCAAACTACTCAACCTTTTCATTGGAGAAAGCAAGATTATGGATAAAGTAATCGTATTTTAGCTGGAAACAACGGTCTGAAATTAAAAACTGATTATTGATGGATTTGTTTATTACAAACAAATTAATTGATGTACTGGAGTGGTGTGGATTACTTGTGGATTATTGTGATGTTTGACGGCACCCATTCACTGCAGAGCATCCATTGGTAAGCAAGAGATGTAACGCTAAATTTCAAGATTTAAAATTTCAGATGAAGAAACGAACTCATCTACATCTTGCATGATTTGATGGTGAGTAAATGTTCAGCAATTTTTCATTTTTAGATTTTTAAAGATATACTTTGCTGTAATAACGCTCATTTAAATCTCAATATAACAGCAGGGAAAATTTTATGTTTTGTATATGTATATGTTATATATATATATATATGTATACGTATATGTATATATGTTTTTTCGATTGTTAATGTTGGAAATTATTAGCTGTGCCAATAGTAAGGTTTTCTAACCTGCTTTACTTTTAATTAGTCATTTAAACTGGAAAAACTGCTCAGTGAGCATCTACTGGAAGTCGATGCAAATCCGCTCAGAGCACAAGAATGTCCAGATGTAGAGCTAAACACTGATAAAGCTATAACTTCATCCTTCAATTCCCAAAGAAGCCTTTTCTCTATTGCTCTTTTATTACCCTCAGTCTATATTCATCAATTACAAGTTAATAAGCTTCAGTGCCTTTAAGTCCTGTTTTCCATGTTCCAGGTATGAGCGTACGAGGGTCCAGAGCCTGGCGACCCAACACCATCCCCGTCTCCTTGCTTTCTATCATCGTGTTATCGACACTGCGACTGGCTTTGTGTTAACGGTCTGAAGGATCGAACATCTTCTGACCGGTTTGATTGCCCACATACTTCCTCATTGTGGAATCGTTGGAAAGGTGCACCGAAACACTTTTGAAGAGAGATTATCGATCTATCTCTCCATAGTTATCTGAGGCAATGCCCTGCGAGCCATTCAAGGAGCGTAACGGGAAAAAGTCAGCGTCACGATGGTCGGATTTTGTGTGCATGTGTTATGTACTGTTTATCATTGTGTCCTTGCAAGTGATCCGAGACCCTAACAAGGTTTCAACCGAAGGTTTTTGAAGCATACCAGTGTACGAGGAGGGATGAGTCATGTTACTGCACTAAGATTCCATCTTCTCATTGATCCCTCAGAACAAATGCCTTACTTCCATGTACATGCCAAAGTAGTTAACATCCTTTTACTTCTTACTAAGCTACTGTTTGTTATACTTGTGGTTGTTTTGTAATTATCCCATCATTAATTGAAGGATTAGTTCACCCAAAAATCATTTACACACCCTCATGTTGTTGTCATGTGACTTTCATTTTTCTGTAGGACACAAAGGAGCAATTTTAAAGAATGTTCCCATGCAATTACAATGAATGGAGTCAGAGGTCTTTTAAAGTAGTAGTTCACTCAAAAATGAAAATTTACTTACCCTCTGGTCATCCAAGATATAGCTGAGTTTCTTTCTTAATCAAAACAGATCTGGAGGAATGTAGCATTACGTCACTTGCTCACCAATGGATCCTCTGCAGTGAATGGGTGCCATCAGAATGAGAGTCCAAAAAGCTGATAAAAACATCACAGTAATCCACTAATAATCAACACCTCTCCAGTCAATCTTGTAAAGTGAAAAACCACTTGTTTGTAAGAAACAGATCCATCAAGGCATTTTTATTTTTCCACTATGGCTTCTGTCCAAAATACGAGTCCATAATCTATAAAACAGTTTCCAACAGTGAAAAAGTCCATCCCATGTTGTTTTCTCACATCAAACTCCACCAACATATTTGTTTAGAACTGATTTAGACTTTGATTCTGATTTAGATTTTGCTTTTAAATAGTGCTTGACCTGTGCATATTTCTCTCCTGATTAAGACTAGAAAACATTTTCACTGGAGAAAGCAATATTACTGGACCCGGAAGCAACAAAGTTAAAAACATCTTACAGATGGATTTGTTTATTACAAACACTCATCTTTTATCTTCACAAGATGTTAATTGATGGACTGGAGTCATGTGGATTACTTATGGATTATTATGATGTTTTTATCAGCTGTTTGGACTCTCATTCTGACAGCACCCATTCACTGCAGAGGATCCATTGGTGAGCAAGTGATGGAATGCTACATTTTTTCTAAATCTGTTCCAATGACGAAACAAACTCATCTACATCTATGATGTCCTGAGGGTGAGTATATTTACATCAAATTAAATTTTTTGATGAACTATTCCTTTAAGCTTCATTGAGGCCATGAAAGCACCATAAAATATCATAAAATTGTTCCATACAACTTGTAGGCTATGTCAACTCTTACAAATTCATATGAGAATTTAATGTGAGAACCAAGCCGAATTTTAAGCTATTCACTAATAATCTTAATCTCCATGAAACTACGATTGAATTATTGAGTCGAGATTGAGTTGTGGATGTTTTGTTCTTCAAAAATTGTAAATAATGATAGAAGGCTCATTTTTTTGTGTGTGTGAACGATCCCTTTAAGCTACTGTTTGTTATACTTGTGATTGTTTTGAAATCACATCAAGTAACATTTAGCCTTTGCTTATTAGTTCAGTTATTTGTTCAAGAGTTGTCTCTGTGCCTTATCTATGTTTTAGTACACACAAGGCTTGTATTTGTTTGCTCCAGGCACCATGTTGCAGCTACAAGCATCTAGTATTCATGATTGTCAAAGTGCTACATTCACAGGTTTTGTGACAACAAGACGTACACTATTTGATCTGCATTCAACACTAGGTGAGGTTATGGGCAAATTTGTCTACAGTTACAACGATAAAGTAATGATATCATATGATAGTAACATGAGGGAACTGATTAGACTTTTATAAATATGCTAGAGATGTTCTAGATGTTCAAAATTTGATTAAGCATTTAGACACAAGACTTTAATGCAGTCATAATGATTTGGTTTAATAAAGAAGTATCATCATTTTTGACGATCAAAAATAGTAATAGGTGGGTGAAAATGTAATTTTGAGATGAGCAACCTATTATTACAGTATTACGATATCAGAGATTTTCTTTCCTCACTAACAAAAATTTTGGAGTGCTAAAGCCACATTTATAATGACCCTTTTTTTTAGTATCACTTTATTATCCCTTGTGAAAAAGAAATGTGCTTAATTGTATTAAATGTGCACTTGTAGTGTATTTACTTGTAGTGTATTTATTTGTAGTGTAGTGCACTTAAAAGTGTATTTTTAAAAAGTACTTGCAGATAATATATTAATGAAAAAGGCCACTTTAGTGTATTTGAAGTGCGTTCACTTTTTAATGACTGTTTCTTAAGACTTCACAGTCTGTAATAATGTCAAATTATAAAGTACATTTTGAATCATTGTTTTAATAATATTTTGTCATGCTTTTAAGAAGTACACTTATCTTGATGTGTTGACATATATTAAAGCACATGTAAAGTACTCGATTATAATTTTAACTGTAGTGTGTTGAGATTACATTTAACGTTAATAGACTTATAGTAAATTGCAGCATTGCAAATGTGTAATTACAAATATATTTCAAACCATGACAAACAAGTTTCAATAGACCTGACATTAAAAGCATTTTTTAGTTTACCATAAATACTTGTCAGTACATTCAGCAGTATGCTTCAACCATATTCCATAAGACAATACAAGTGATTATGAAATTCTTATTAAAGTATATTATTTCCATGGCAAGTAGCCTTTTTAAAAGCATACTTAAGTGTACTTCTTTTACACAAGGGATAACTCAAGTATTATACTTTTTTATTATATTTTGAGATTTCAGTTTTGGAAAACGAGTGAAAATGAGTACTGATACTTCTTTTTAGCCTCCTGTATGTGATATCAGTGTTTTTAATAGCGTTACCATTTTCAGGTACAGCAAAGTGAGGCTGATAGGGCAGGTTTAATGTATTAATAATCTGTTAAGCACTACAGCATAAACTCAGAATTCATTCTTGACCTGATTTAAGTTGTTTTTTATATATAACAACAAATTAGATGTCAGCTTGTGCTATTTTTTTGCCCCTCGGTTTATCTGCACACTGTTATATCTTATAGTGAGCATATTCAGTCTGCTGCCGGTGTTTCTTCACACAGCGGAGTACGCAAACAGCCATTGCTTTTAGTACAGATAGTACAGATATCAGCTCATCCGTAGTTATTATTCATTTTAAAAGGGCGGCAGCGCTGCATACTGCACATATCTGCTGCATCTTAAAACAGAAATGCTGAATGGTTGCTAAAAGCCACTTGAGGTTTTTTGTTGTTTGGTTGGTTGTTTGTTTGTTTTTCTGGCCATATACTTTGTGTCTTGTTCTTCTGTGACTGTTAAAAGTTCTGGTTCTTTATGTATTCGAAGCTTGTTTAGCAGACCTCAGATAAATAGTTTGTGTTTTATTTGTCACTTTCTCGCTGTGCTGGACAAGTGGCGCAGATTCTAGGCCACTCACCAGATGCTCCTCAGGGCCTTTATCAGCTGAATCAGATGTGTTTAGGAAAGTTCGGGGGGAAAAAACTGCTTACCCAGTAGCGCTCAAATCAGTCCTGGTAATTAAAGGAATAGTTAACCCAAAATAAAAAATTGCTGTTTGTACTCACCCTCAGGCCATCCAAGACGTAGATGAGTTTGTTTCTTCATCAGAACAGATTCAGAGAAAAGAGCATTACATCACTTGTTCATCAATTGATCCTATACAGTGAATGGGTGCCGTCAGAATGAGAGTCCAAAAAGATGATGAAAACATCACAATAATCCACAAGTAATCCACACTACTCCAGTCCATCAGTTAATATCTTGTGAAGAGAAAAGCTGCGTGTAAGAAACAAATCCATCATTAAGGCATTTTAACTTAAACAAGTGGCTTTTCATTTTACAAGACTGACTGGAGAGGTATTGATTACTTGTGGATTATTGTGATGTTTTTATCAGCTGTTTGGACTCTCATTCTGACGGCACCCATTCACTGCAGAGGATCCATTGGTGAGCAAGTGATGCAATGCTATATTTGACGAAGAAACAAGCTCATCTACTTCATGGGTGACCTGAGGGTGAGTACATTTTCAGCAAATATTCATTTTGGGGACTATTCCTTTATTTAATATGCTTGTGTATCGCAATACTAAAACACATATGGCATGCTGCTGAAAGATATAAACACAAGAATGATGACAATTTGACAGCCATGAACTGAAAGCACACGATTTGACTGATCCTTACCGTGATGTAGAAGCCATTAAACCGCGCTAATAAATCACAGTGCGCCCTGCAAGGGCTTTTGACCAAATCTGCAAGGGAATAACGATTATTAGGAGAGCCGAAGACAAGATGTGAGATGAACAGCATGGCGAGCTGTATCAGGACTGTCCAGACAGGAGCAGCTTTAATTTTCGTTCTTTTGTTTCTCCTCACGAAAGGGACGTGGCCACCTTTCTGTGTCATTGTAGGATGACCGCACTCAAAGGGCCATTTGTATGACTCTCACTTACGCACATTTGAGGAGACTCCTGGGTGTTGTTTAAGGCCGCCCGCACACTGAATCGTAAGGTCAAATAGGAAGCAGTCTGAAGTGAGAGTAAATGAAAATGCTCTCTGAGTGAGAAAAGTCGCATTGTCCCTACGGACTTGCCGTACGATATAGATGTCATATCAAACTGTTGAAGCTCTTGGATGTTTTTGTGTCCGGGATGAAGGCTGCTGCATGATTTTGATTTAACCTTTGATAATGGCTGCTGACATTTAGGTGCCTGTTGGGATTTGTGTAATTTTGTTCTGGATTGTCAGCCCAATTTGTGAATATTATTCATATTTTCTCTGGAGTTGCTTCAGAGTACTTCATCTGAGATCCTTAAGTGCTTATTATAAAAAAAAAAAATCATTAGTTTATGTGATTGCTTCTGAAAATGTTTAAAAAAAAGTGTTTTGTATTTTGTAAGTATTGTTTTGTTGTTTCAGTTTTATGACATCAAACTTGTAATGGCTTTTTTGTTAAAGGTCAAGTGTTGTCCTTTAAAAGTAAAGTAATTTGATTATGGCTGTCACAGATTGAGTTGTGGAAAGATTATGTAGTGGAATGCAAGATTGTGTTCCTCTTTGGTTGAAATGATGACACGATCAAGATTAACTTGTGTTTTCGTGTGTTAGATTCAAATAGATCCACCTTCCATATGAATATGTGTAACAACACTTGACCTAGTGTTTTGATATTTCTGTATTAATACATTGTTTATTGAAAACATCTCTGTGAGATGACATACTCGCGGTGAATACTGTTTTCATATTGAAAAGAACTGGACTGTGTATAGTAAAGCAGTGCATGTTGATTGTTTAATGTGTGTACATTTTCTA